ATTTAATATGCTCCTGCACTATATCTGTACAAATAGAATAACCCATTTATAATGAATTGTAAAGGAATAGTAATCCTCTCCTAATATTCCAAATAAGAAAGATCCATGAATTTTCAGAATAAATGGTGGAAAAGAAAAATATAGATTAAGGAAGAATAAACACTACTGGCCTTCATTGAGATCCTACATAAAAACACGCCACAACTGTTACACAGGCAACAGATACGTAGGTCCAACAAGTTCCATAATTCGAAGAATATGAGAAGACTAAAAGGAATTCACCCTATCCACCATGCAATCGATGCATTCTGACTTTGACCCAAATATCACCTGAAACCAATTCAATCAGTTGATCATTCAATCAAAGCTCTCTCGATCGAACAACACATAACTTCCAAGCTTTCGAAAATAATATAAATCTAAAACTTAAAGTTTAGAACCAAAATAGTTTAAGAGCCAAACAAAGATCAAAGGTCAAACTAAGGTTTTTACTGAAGTCCATTTACCTGATACATAATTGTGCGATTGAGGATGCAAATATTCCACCATGATGAACTCAATTTTTTGTTTGCCATGTCTTCAAAATAAATGTCCAGAAACATCTTAAGGCACTTTAATACATTACAACTCAGGTTTTGGGAAAGATATAAAAATGACTGAATATCCTAAAACAAACTTACAGAAACATCAATCATTTCTAGCAGTCTAACCAAGTAAAGGTTCTCTTAGCTCTTCCAATAGACCGCTCTCAAAAACAACCACAAATAAAGCAAAATAACAAGCGTTTGTAAACACCAAAGAGAGGTCAAGCAAAAGCCAAGAACGAAAAATAAAAACAGAGAATTAGATACTATCGTCTGTTTTCAACTAATCACAGGATGTACAGTCCAATGACAAGTAAGAAGTCCAGCCACACAAAAGGTTCTTTAACTTTCACCAAGCCAATCTTCAAGTTACTGCAACCAAGCAAAAAAGTAACGGACAACCAGCATAACAATCTTATTCACATATGTTTTAAAAAAATAAAAATAAAACCAAGAATAAAAATAATTTGAACCTATGACATCAAGGTTAGGAGCCTTGTTAACTACCAAACTGCTCTGCCCCACACTGAAGACAATAACTGAGAACTAATAGACAAACTAGGATTTAATATGCTCCCCCACTATATCTGTACAAATACAATAAGCCATTTATAATGAATTGTAAAAGAATAGTAGCAATCCTCACCGAATATTCAGTGTAAGAAAGATCCATGAATTTTCAGAACAAATGGAATGGTGGAAAAGAGAAATAAAAATGAAGGAATAATAAACACAACGGTAAAAATTGGGATGATTGTTAAACAACTTTCAAAACGTAAATACTCAGTTACAGTTACACAGTTACACAACTTTCAAAACGTAAATACTCACAAACCAAGACGAATTGAATGCTGGCAACCAAAAGGTCCCGACTGCACTATGACATTTCCGGATCACTACTGGCCTTCACTGAGATCCTACATAAAAACACGCCACTACTGTTATACAGGCACCAGACATGTAGGTCTGACAAGTTCGATAATTCGAAGACTACAAGAAGTCTAAAAAGAATTCACCCTATCCACCATGCAATCGATGCATTCTGACTTTGACCTAAATATCACCTGAAACCAATTCAATCAGTTGATCATTTCATCAAAGCTCTCTGGATTGTACAACACATAACTTCCAAGCTTTTGAAAATAATCTAAATCTAAAACTTAAAGTTTAGAACCAAAATAGTTTAAGAGCCAAACCAAGATCAAAGGTCAAACTATGGTTTTTAATGAAGTCCATTTACCTGATACATAATCGTGCGCTTGAAGATGCAAATATTCCACCATGATGACCTCAATTTTTCGTCTGCCATGTCTTCAAAATAAATGTCCATAAACAACTCAAGGCACTTTGATACATTACAACTCAGGTTTTGGGTAAGATATGAAAATGACTCAATATCCTAAAACAAACTTACAGATACATCGATCATTTCCTGCAATCTAACCAGGTAAAGGTTCTCTTAGCTCTTCCAATAGACCGCTCTCAAAAACAACTACAAATAAAGCAAAATAACAAGCGTATGTAAACACCAAAGAGAGAGGTCAAGCAAAAGCCAAGAACCAAAAACAAAAACAGAGAATTAGATACTATCTTCTGTTTTCAACTAATCACAGGATGTACAGTCAAATGACAAGTAAGAAGTCCAGCCACGCAAAAGGCTCTTTAACTTTCACCAAGCCAATCTTCAAGTGACTGCAACAAAGCAGAAAAGTGACGGACAACCAGCCTAACAAATTTATTAATAAAGCTGCGGAGACGGGATTTGAACTCAGGACATCAAGGTTAGGAGCCTTGTTAGCTACCAAACTGCTCTGCCCCACGCTGAAGACAAGAACTGAGAACTAATAGACAAACAAGGATTTAATATGCTCCACCACTACATCTGTACAAATACAATAAGCCATTTGTAATGAATTGTAAAGGAATACCAACCCTCACCTAATATTCAGTGTAAGAAAGATCCATGAACTTTCAGAACAAATGGTGGAAAAGAGAAATATAGATGAAGGAAGAATAAACAAATATAAGCACAAACCAAAACGAATCGAATGCTGCCTACCACACTATCACATTTCCCGAACACTACTGGCCTTCATTGAGATCCTACATAAAAACACACCAATACTATTATAAAGGCACCGAATACGTAGGTTTGACGAGTACGATTGATCGAAGCTTACTGGCAGAGTCTCAGAGGCATTCAGATCTATCGACCATGCAATCGATGCATTCTGACTTTAAACCAAGTATTACCTGAAACCACTTCAATTGGCTGATCATTCAATCAAAGCTATCTGTATCTATCAAAGCTATCTGGATTGATCAAAGCATAATTTGCAAGTCTTTGAAAATAATCTAAAACGTAAGGTTTTGAATAAAAACAGTTAATGAGCCAAACCAAGATCAAAGGTCAAACAAAGTTATTTACTAAAGTCCATTTACCTGATACCTAATTGTCCGATTGAAGATGCAAAGAATAAATAATCCGCAATGAATCTTCTCATGTTCTGTCCACCATGTCTTCAAAAATGTCCATAAACAACTCAAGGCACTTTGATACACTACAACAAAGGTTTTGGGTAAGATATGCCAATGACAAAATATCCTAATACAAACTTGCAGAAACATCGATCATTTCCAGCAGTCTAACCAGGTAAAGGTTCTCTATGCTCTTCCAAAAGACCGATCTCAAAATCAACTTCAAACAAGCAAAATAACAAATGTTGGTAAACACCAAAGAGAGAAGTCAAGCAGAATCCAAGAACAAAAAACAAAAACAGAGAATTAGATCCTCTCTACTGCTTTCAACTAATCACGGGTAAGAAGTCCATCTTCAATAACAAGGAAGAAGTCCAGCCACGCAAAAGGCACTTTAACTTTCACCAAGTCCATCTTCAATTGACTGCAAACAAGCAAAAAAGTAAAGAGCGACCAGAAAAACACACATATTCAAACATGCTTAAAAAAAACCCTAAGAATAAATTATAATGTTACAGATACAGGATTTGAACCCATAACGTCAAGGTTAGGAGCCTTGCGAGCTACCAAACTGCACTGCCACACGCTGAAGACGAGAACTGTGAACTAATAAACAAACAAGGATTTAATATACTCCTCCGCTACATCTGTACAAATAGAATAACCCATTCATAATGAATTCTAAAGGAATAGTGATCCCCACCTAATATTCCTGGTAAGAAAGATCAATTAATTTTCAGAACAAATGGTGGAAAAGAAAATATAGATGAAGGAAAATTAAACACAGTGGTAAAAATTCAGAAAATGGTGAAATAATACCAAATATACAGTTACACAACTTTCAAAACATAAATAAGCACAAACCAACACGAATCGAATGCTGCCTACCACAAGGTCCCAACTGCACTATGACATTTCCTGAACACTACTGGCCTTCATTGAGATCCTACATAAAAACACGCCACTACTGTTATAAAGGCACCAGACATGTAGGTCCGACAAGTTCGATTGATCAAAGACCTACAAGAAGTCTAAAAGGAATTCGATGCATTCCGACTTTGACTTAAATGTCACCTGAAACCAATTCAATTGGTTGATCATTCGATCTAAGCACTCTGGATCGAACAACACATAACTTTCAAGCTTTCGAAAATAATCTAAATCTAAAACTTAAAGTTTAGAACCAAAATAGTTTCAGAGCCAAACCAAGATCAAAGGTCAAACTAAGGTTTTACTGAAGTCCATTTACCTGATACATAATTGTGTGATTGAGGATGCAAATATTCCACCATAATGATCTCAATTTTTTGTCTGCCATGTCTTCAAAATAAATGTCCATAAACAACTCAAGGCACTTTGATACATTACAACTCAGGTTTTGGGTAAGATATGCAAATGACTCAATATCCTAAAACAAACTTACAGAAACATCGATCATTTCCTGCAGTCTAACCGGGTAAGGTTCTCTTAGCTCTTCCAATAGACCACTCTCAAAAACAACTACAAATAAAGCAAAATAACAAGCGTTTGTAAACACCAAAGAGATAGGTCAAGCAAAAGCCAAGAACGAAAAACAAAGACACAGAATTAGATACTATCTTCTGTTTTCAACTAATCACAGGATGTACAGTCCAATGACAAGTAAGAAGTCCAGCCACGCAAAAGGCTCTTTTAACTTTCACCAAGCCAATCATAAGGTGACTACAAGCAAAAACGTAATGGACAACCAGCATAACAAACTTATTCACATATGTTAAAAATAAAAAATAAAAATCAAGAATAAAAATAAAGCTGCGGAGACGGGATTTGAACCCATGACATCAAGGTTAGGAGCCTTGTGAGCTACCAAACTGTTCTGCCCCACGCTGAAGACAAGAACTGAGAACTAATAGACAAACTAGGATTTAACATGCTCCACCACCATATCTGTACAAATAGAATAAGCCATTTGTAATGAATTGTAAAGGGATAGCAATCCTCACCTAATATTCAGTGTAAGAAGATCCATGAATTTTCAAAACAAATAGAGGAAAAGAGAAATATAGATGAAGGAAGAATAAACACAGCGGTAAAAATTGGGATGATGGTGAAATAATAACAAATATAAGCACAAACAAAAATGAATCGAATGCTGCCTGAAACATTAGATACTCTCCTCTGTTTTCAACTCAGAGCGGGTAAGAAGTCAAGCCACTTTGAAACATTACAACTCAGTTTTGGGGTTAAGATATGCCAATGACTCAACACATATCTGTACAAATAGAATAAGCCATTTGTAATGAATTGTAAAGGAATAGCAATCCTCACCTAATATTCCAAGTATGAAAGATCCATGAATTTTCAGAACAAATAGTGGAAAAAAGAAAATATAGATGAAGGAAGAATAAACACGTAAAAATTGGGATGATGGTGAAATAATAGCAAATATAATGCTACACAACTTTCAAAACGTAAATAAGCACAAACCAGACGAATCGAATGATTCCTACCACAAGGTCCCGACTGAACTTTGAAATTTTCCGAAAGCAGCAGGCCTTCATTGAGATCCTACATAAAAACACCACACTACTATTATACAGGCACATAATACATAGGTCTGAGAAGTACGATTGATTGACACTTACTGGCAGTCTCATAGGCATTCAAACTATCGATCATGCAATTGATGCATTCTGACTTTGAACTAAATATTACCTTAAACCAATTCAATCTGTTAATCATTCGATAAAATCTAACTGGATAGATCAAAGCAGTATTAGCAAGCTCTCAAAAAAAAAAAAATTAACTTAAAGTTTTGAATCAAAACAGTTTATGAGTCAAACCAAGATCAAAGGTCAGACTAAGTTATTTACTAAAGTCCATTTACCTGATACCTAATTATGCGATTGAGGAAGCAAATATTCCACAATGATCTTCTCAGTTTTTGTCCACCATGTCTTCAAAAAAATGTCCATAAACAACTCAAGGAACTTTGATACATTACAACTCAGGTTTTCGGTAAGATATGATGCCACTGACTCGATATCCTAATACAAACTTACAGAAACATGGATCATTTCCTGCAGTCTAACCAGGTAAAGGTTCTGTTAGCTCTTCCAAAAGACCACTCTCAAAATCAACTTCAAACAAGTAAAATAACAAATGTTTATAAACACCGAATGGAGAGGTCAAGCAAAACCAAGAACAAAAAATCAAAAACAGAGACTTAAAGAGAATTTTCAACTCAGCGCATGTAAGAAGTCAAGGCACTTTGAAACATTACAACTCAGGTTTTGGGTAAGATATGCCAATGACTCAATATCCTAATACAAACTAACAGAAACGTCGATCATTTCCTGCAGTCTAACCAGGTAAAGGTTCTCTTAGCTCTTCCAAAAGACCGCTCCCAAAATCAACTTCAAACAAGCAAGATAACAAATGTTTGTAAACAACAAAGAGAGAGGTAAAGCAATAAACAAAAACAGAAAATTAGATACTCTTCTGTTTTCAACTAATCAGAGGTAAGAAGTCCATCTTCAATAACAAGTAAGAAGTCCAGCCACGCAAAAGGCTCTCTAATTTTCACCAAGTCCATCTTCAAGTGACTGCAAACAAGCAAAAAAGTAACGAGCAAAAAGCAACACACACTTATTCACACATGCAAAAAATAAAAATTACCCAAGAATAAATATAATGTTGCAGAGACAAGATTTGAACCCATGACAACAAAGTTAGGAGCCTTGCGAGCTACCAAACTGCTCTACCCCACGCCGAAGACAAGAACTGAGAGCTAATAGACAAACAAGGATTTAATACGCTCCCCCACTATATCTATACAAATAGAATAAGCCCTTTGTAATGAATTGTAAAGGAACGGCAATCCTCACCTAATATTCAATGTAAGAAAGATCTGGAAATGAGAAATATAGACAAAGGAAGAATAAACACAGCGGTAAAATTGGGATGATGGTGAAATAATACCAACTATAAGCACAAACCAAGACGAATCGAATACTGTCTACCAAAAGGTCCCGATTGCACTATGACATTTCCCGAACACTACTGACCTTCATTGAGATCCTACATAAAAACACGCCAATACTTATTATACAGGCACCGAATACGTAGGTCGACTCACTAGGTCCGACAAGTTCAATTGATCGAAGACTACAAGAAGTCTAAAAGGAATTCAACCTATCCACCATGCAATAGATGCATTTTGAATTTGAACTAAATAATACCTGAAACCAATTCAATCGGTTGATCATTCGATCAAATCTCTCTAAATCGATCAACACATAAATTCCAAGTTTTCAAATAATAATATAACAACTTGGAAGTTTAGAAACAAAACAATTTAGAAGCAAACCAAGATCAAAGGTCAAACTAAGGTGTTTACTAAAGACCATTTACCTGTACCTAATTGTGCGATTGAGGATGCAAATATTTCACCATGATCTTCTCAATTTTGTCTGCCACGTCTTCAAAAAAATGTCCATAAAAAACTAAAGGAACTTTGATATATATAGCAACTTAGGTTTTGGGTAAGATATGCCAATGACTCAATATCCTAATACAAACTTACAACAAAGAAAATTTCCTGCAGTCTAACCAGGTAAGGTTCTCTTAGCTTTTCCAAACTCCGCTTTCAAAATAAACTACAAACAAGCAAAATAACAGGAGTTTGTAAACACCAAAGAGAGAGGTCAAGCAAAATCCAAGAACAAAAAACAAAAACAGAGAATTAGATACTCTCTCCAGTTTTTAACTAATCACAGGATGTATAGTCCAATAACAAGTAAGAAGTCCAGCCACACAAATGGCTCGTTAACTTTCACCAAGTCCATCTTCAAGTGACTGCAAATAAGCAAAAAAGTAACGAGCTACCAGCAAAACACAGTTCTTCACACATGCTAAATAAAATAAAATAAAAAAGAATAAAAATAATTCGGTGAAGGCCCCACTCTGAAGACAGGAACTGAGAACTAATAGACAAACAAGGATTTAACATGCACCTCCACTATAGTTGTACAAATAGATTAACCATTTATAATGAATTGTAAGGGAATAGTAATCCTCACCTAATATTTCAAGCAAGAAAGATCTTTGAATTTTCAGAACAAATGGTGGAAAAGAGAAATATAGATGAAGGAAGTATAAACACGGCAGTAAAAATTGGGAAGAAGGTGAAATAATACCAAATACACTGTTACACAACTTTCAAAACCTAAATAAGCACAAACCAAGACGAATCGAATGCTGCCTACAACAGGTCCCAACTGCACTATGACATTTACCGAGCACTACTGAACTTCATTGAGATCCTACATAAAAACACCCCACTACTATTATACAGGCACCGAATACGTAGGTCTGAAAAGTACAATCAATCGAAGCTTACTGGAAGTCTCACAGGCATTCCATCTTTCAACCATGCAATCGATGAATTCTGACTTTGAACTGAATATTACCTGAAACCAATTCAATCGGTTGATCATTTGATCAAAGCTATCTTGTTCAATAGAAGCAATATTTGCAACCTATCAAAAAAAATATCTATAACTTAAAGTTTTGAATCAAAACAGTTTATAAGCCAAACCAAGATCAAAGGTCAAACTAACTTATTTACTAAAGTCCATTTACCTGATACCTAATTGTGCGATTGAGGATGCAAATATTACACAATAATCTTCTCCTTTTTTGTCCGCCACATCTTCAAAACAATGTCCACAAACAACTCAAGGCACTTTGATACATTACAACCCAGGTTTTGGGTAAGATATGCCAAAAACTCAACATCCTTATACAAGCATACAGAAACATTGATCATTTCATGCAGTTTAACCAGGTAAAGCTTCTCTTAGCTTTCCAAAAGACCGCTCTCAAAATCAACTAAAAACAACCAAAATAACAAGTGTCTGTAAACACCAAAATGAGAGGTAAAGCAAAATCCAAGCCGACAGAACAAAAAGCAAAAACAGAGAATTAGATACTCTCTTCTGTTTTCAACTAATCACAGGATGTACAGTCCAAAATAACATGTAAGAAGTCCTGCCACGAAAAAGGTTGTTTAACTTTCACTAAGTCCATATTCAAGTGACTGCAAGAGAACAAAAAAGTAACGAGCAACCAGCAAAAGAAACTCATTCACACATGGTAAAAAAAAAAATTTAAAAACCAAGCATAAAAATTATGCAGCGGAGACCGGATTTGAACCCATGACCTCAAGGTTATGAGCCTTGCGAGCTGCCAATCTGCTCTGCCCCGCGCTAAAGATGAACTGAGAACTAAAAGACAAACAAGGATTTAATGCACCTCTCCACTGTATCTGTACAAATAGAATAACCCATTTATAATGAATTGCAAAGGAATTCTAATCCTCACCTAATATTTCAAGTAAGAAAGATCCGTGAATTTCCTGAACAAATGGTGAAAAATAAAAATATTGATGAAGGAAGATTAAACACAGCAGTAAAAATTGGGAAGATGGTGAGATAATACCAAATATACTGTAACACAACTATCAAAACATAAATTAGTACAAACCAAGACTAATCAAATGTTGGCCACAAGGTCCCAACTGCACTTTGAAATTTCCCAAACCCTACTGGCCTTGATTGAAATCCAACAAAAAAACACACCACTAATATCATAAAGGTACCGAATACATAGGTCCAACAAGTTCGGTCGATCTAAGACTACTGGAACTCTAAAAGGAATTCAATCTATCGACCATGCAACCGAAGCATTCTGACTTTGAACTAAATGTTACCTGAAACCAATTCAATCGGTTGATCATTCTATCAAAGCTCTCTGGATCGATCAAAGAATAATTTCCAAGCTTTTGAAAAAAAATCTAGAACTTAAAAGTTTAGAATCAAAACAGTTTATGAGCCAAACCAATAGCAGAGGGAACTCTACGTATCAGAAAGGATCAACTGATGTCCAATCAGTCTCATCCAAGGAGCAGCACCGCATTCCTGAACAGCATCTTTAGTTAAACCCCCAAGCAAAACAGAGCTCAAAGTTGACAGTGAAAACCTAATGCATCATTACTGACAGCATATAGAATGACGTCAAGGTTAGGAGCCTTGAGAGATACCAAACTGTTCTGCCCCATGCTGAAGACAAGAACTGAGAACTAATAGACAAACAAGGATTTAATATGCTCCTCCACTATATCTGTACAAATAGAATAACCCATTTATAATGAATTGGAAAGGAATACTAATCATTGACTGATATTCCAAGTAAGAAAGATCCATGAATTTTCAGAACAAATGGTGGAAAAGAGAAATATAGATAAAGGAAGAATAAACAGAGTGGTAAAAATTGGGAAGATGGTGAAATAATACCAAATTTACTGTTACACAACTTTCAAAACGTAAATAAGCCCAGCCATGCAAAATGCTCTTTTACTTGCACCAAGTCCAGCTTCAAGTGACTGCAAACAAGCCAAGAAAGTAACGAGCAACCAGCAAAACAAACTTATTGACATGTTAAATAAAAAATAAAAAACAAAACCAAGAATAAAAATAATGCTCTGAAGACGGGATTTGAACCCATGACGTCAAGGTCAGGAGCTTCGCGATCTACCAAACTGCTCTAACCCACGTTCCTGAGAACAAATAGACAAATAAGGATTTAATATGCTCCTCCACTATATATGTACAAAAAGAAATTGTAAAGTAGTAATCCTCTCCTAATATTCCAAGTAAGAAAGCTCCATGAATTTTCAGAACAAAAGGTGGAAAAGAATATAGATGAAGGAAAAACTCAAGTTTTGGGTAAGATATGCCAATGACTCAAAATCCAAATACCAGTTTCCAAATACCAGTTTACAGAAACATCAATCATTTCCTGCAGTCTAACCAGGTAAAGGTTCTCTTAGCTTTCCAAAAAGACCGCTCTCAAAATTAACTACAAACAAGCGAAATAACAAGTGTTTGTAAGCACCGAAGAGAGAGGTCAAGCAAAATTGAAGAAAAAAAAAAAAAATTAAAACAGAGAATTAGATACTCTCTTCTGTTTTCAACTAATCACAGGATGTATAATCCATTAACAAGTAAAAAGTCCAGCCACGCAAAAGGCACTTTAACTTTCACCAAATCCATCTTCAAGTGACTGCAAACAAGCGAAACAGTAATGAGCAACCAGCAAAACAAACTTATTCAGACATGCTAAAAAAAAAAAACCACAATAAAAATAATGCTGCAGAGACAGGATTTGATACAATGACATCAAGTTTAGGAGCCCTTGTGATCTACCAAACTGCTCTGCCCCACGCTGAAGACAAGAATTGAGAACTAATAGAAAAACAACGATTTAATATGCTCCACCACTATATCGGTACAAATAGAATAACCCATTTATAATGAATTGTAGAGGAATAATAATCCTCTCCAAATATTCCAAGTAAGAAAGATCCATGAATTTTCAGAACAAACAATGGAAAAGAGAAATATAGATGAAGGAAGAATAAACTAAGTGGTAAAAATTGGGAAGATGGTGGAAATAATACAAAATTTACTGTTACACAACTTTCAAAACGTAAATAATAGCCATGCAAAACGCTCTTTAACTTTCACCATGTCCATCGTCAAGTGACTGCAAACAAACAAAAAAGTAACAAGCAACCAGCAAAACAAACTTATTCACACATGTTGAAAAAAAAAAAAAAAACAAACAAACAAGAATAAAAATAATGATGCGGTGACGATTTGAACCCATGATGTCAAGGTTAGGAGTCTTACGAGCTACCAAACTGCTCTGTCCCACGGTGAAGACAAGAACTGAGAACTAATAGACAAACAAGGATTTAATATGCTCCTCCACTATATCTGTACAAATAGAATAACCCATTTATAATGAATTGTAAAGGAATAGTAATCCTCTCCTAATATTACAAGTAAGAAATATACATGAATTTTCAAAACAAATGGTGGAAAAGAGAAATATAGATGAAGGAAGAATAAACACAGTGGTAAAACTTGGGAAGACAGCGAAATAATACCAAATATACAGTTACACAACTTTCAAAATGTAAATAAGCACAAACCATGACAAATCGAATGCTACCTACCACAAGGTCCTGACTGCACTATGACATTTCCCGAACACTACTTGCCTTCATTGAGATCCTACATAAAAACACCACACTACTATTATAAAGGCACCGAATACGTAGGTTTGACAAGTACGATCGATCGAAGCTTACAGGAAGTCTCACAGGCATTCAATCTATCGACCATGCAATCGATGCATTCTGACTTTGAACTAAATATTACCTGAAACTAATTCAATCGGTTGACCATTCCAATCAAAGCTCGCTGGATTGATCAACACATAACTTCCAAGCTTTTGAATAAAAAGTTTAGAATCAAGAGAGTTTAGGAGCTAAAACAAGATAGAAGGTCAAACTAAGGTATTTACTAAAGTCCATTTACCAGATGCCTAACTGTGCGATTGAGAATTTAAATATTCCACCATGATCTTCTCAATTTTTTTGTCCAGACGTCTTCAAAAAAATGTCCATAAACTCAAGGCACTTTGATACATTACAACTCGGGATTTGGGTACAAACTCACAGAAACATTGATAATTTCCTGCAGTCTAACCAGGTAAAGGTTTTGTTAACTCTCCAAAAGACCGCTCTCAAAATCAACTATAAACAAGCAAAATTAAAAGTGTTGATAAACACCAAAGAGAGAGCTCAACCAAAATCAAAGAACGAAAACGAAAACAGATAAATAGATACTATTCTCTTTTCAACTCATCACAGGTTGTACACTTCAATAACAAGTAAGAAGTCCAGACATGCAAAAGGCTCTTTAAATTTCGCCAAGTCCATCTTCAAGTGACGCAAGAGCCAAAAAAACAAACTTATTCAAACATGTTAAAAAAATATAAAAAATAAAAAATAAAATAAAAACAATGCTGCGGAGACAATTTGAACCAATGACGTCAAGGTTAGGAGCCTTGCGAGCTACCAAACTACTATGCCCCGCGCTGAAGACAACAACTGAGAACTAATAGACAAACAAGGATTTAATATGCTCCTCCACTATATCTGAACAAATAGAATAACACATTTATAATGAATTGCAAAGGAATAGTAATCCTCTCCTAATATTCCAAGCAAGAAAGATCCATGAATTTTCAGAACAAATGGTGGAAAAAGAAAAATATAGATGAAGGGTGAATAAACACAGCCGTAAAAATTGGGAAGATGGTGAAATAATACGAAATTTACTGTTACACAACTTTCAAAATGTAAATAAGCCCAAACCAAGACGAATCAAATGCTACCTAACACAAGGTCGCGCATGCACTATGACATTTCCCGAAGCCTTCATTGAGATCCTACATAAAAACACACCAATACTATTATACAGGCACCGAATACGTAGGTCCAACAAGTTCGATTGATCAAAGACTATAAGTAAGTCGAAAAGGAATTCAACCAATCCACCATGCAATCGATGCATTCTTACTTTGAAACTAAATAATACCTAAAACTAATTCAATCAGTTGATCATTCAATCAAATATCCCCAGATCGATCAACGCATAAATTCCAAGCTTTAGAAAAAAATCTAAAACTTAAATGTTTAGAATCAAAACAGTTTAGGAGCCAAACCAAGTTCAAAGGACCATTTACCTGTACCTAATTGTGCAATTGAGGATGCAAATATTTCACCATGACCTTCTCTATTTTTTATCTGCCATGTCTTCAAAAAAATGTCCGTAAACTCAAGGCATTTGATATATATAGCAACTCAGGTTTTGGGTAAGATATACCATTGACTCAATATCCTAATAGAAACTCACAATAAAAAAAATTCCCTGCAGTCTACCGAGGTAAAGGTTCTCTGAGCTTTTCCAAAAGTCCGCTCTCAAAATCAACTACAAACAAGCAAACTAACAAGTGTTTGTAAACACCAAAGAGAGAGATCAAGCAAAATCCAAGAACAAAAAACAAAAACAGAGAATTAGATACTCTCTTCTGTTTTCATCTAATTACAGGATGTACAGTCCATTAACAAGTAAGAAGTCCATCCACGCAAAAGGCACTTAAACTTTCACTAAGTCCATCTTAAAGTGACTGCAAACAAGCAAAAAAGTAACGAGCAACCAGCAAAACAAACTTATTCACACATGTTTAAAAAAAAAAAAAACCCAAAGAGAAAAAATAATGCTGCAGACAAAGGATTTGAACCCATAATGTCAAAAGGTTAGGAGCCTTGCGAGCTACCAAACTACTCTGCCAAACGCTGAAGACAAGAAGTGTGAACGAATAGACAAACAAGGATTTAATATCCTCCTGCACTATATCTGTACAAATAGAATAACCCATTTATAATGAATTGTAAAGGAATAGTAATCCCCACCTATAATTCCAAGTAAGAAAGATCCATGAATTTTCAGAACAAATAGTGGAAAAGAGAAATATAGATGAAGGAAGAATAAACACAGCGGTAAAAATTGGGAAGATGGTGAAATAATTCCAAATATACAGAAATAAAACCTTCAAAACGTTAATAAGCACAAACAAAGACGAATCGAATGCTGCCAACCACAAGGTCCCGACCAAACTATTGACTCGATATAAACACTACTGGCCTTCATTGAGATCCTACATAAAAACACGCCACTACTGTTATACAGGCACCAGATACGTAGGTCCAACAAGTTCCATTATTCAAAGAATACAAGAAGTCTAAAAGAAATTCACCCTATCCACCATGCAATCGATGCATTCTGAGTTTGACATAAATATCACCTGAAACCAATTCAATCAGTTGATCATTCGATCAAAGCTCTCTCGATCGAACAACACATAACTTCCAAGCTTTCGAAAATAATCTAAATCTAAAACTTTAAGTTTAGAACCAAAATAGTTTAAGAGCCAAACAAAGATCAAAGGTCAAACTAAGGTTTTTACTGAAGTCCATTTACCTGATATATAATTGTGCAATTGAGGATGCAAATATTCCACCACAACAATCTCAATTTTTTGTCTGCCATGTCTTCAAAATAAATGTTCATAAACATCTCAAGGCACTTTAATACATTACAACTCAGGTTTTGGGAAAGATATAAAAATTACTCAATATCCTAAAACAAACTTACAGAAACATCAATCATTTCCTGCAGTCTAACCAGGTAAAGGTTCTCTTAGCTCTTCCAATAGACCGCTCTCAAAATCAACTACAAATAAAGCAAAATAACAAGCGTTTGTAAACACCAAAGAGAGAGGCCAAGCAAAAGCCAAGAACAAAAAACAAAAACAGAGAATTAGATACCATCTTCTGTTTTCAACTAATTACAGGATGTACAGTCCAATGACAAGTAAGAAGTCCAGCCACCCAAAACTTTCATCAAGCCAATCTTCAAGTGACTGCAAACAAGAAAAAAAGTAACGGGCAACCAGCATAACAAACTTATTCAAACATGTTGGAAAAAAAATAAAGAAAAAAAAAAAAAGCTGCGGAGACGGGATTTGAACCCAAGACGTCAAGGTTAGGAGCCTTGTGAGCAACCAAATTGCTCTGCCCCACGCTGAAGACAAGAACTGAAACTAATAGACAAACAATGATATAATATGCTTCCCCACTATATCGGTACAAATAGAATATGCCAATAGTAATGAATTGTAAAGGAATAGCAACCCTCACCTAATATTCAGTGGAAGAAAGATCCATGATTTTTCAGAACAAATGGTGGAAAAGAGAAATATAGATGAAGGAAGAAAAAACACAGCGGTAAAAATTGGGATGATGGTGAAATAATACCAAATATAAGCACAAACCAAGACGAATCAAATGCTGCCTACCACAAGGTCCCGACTGCACTATGACATTTCCTGAACACTAGTGGCCTTCATTGAGATCCTACATAAAAACACGCCACTACTGTTATACAGGCACCAGACAAGTAGGTCCGACAAGTTCGATTAATAGAAGACTACAAGAAGTCTAAAAGGAATTCACCCTAACCACCATGCAATAGATGCATTCTGACTTTGACCTAAATATCACCTGAAACCAATTCAATCGGTTGATCATTCGATCAAAGCTCTCTGGATCGAACAATTCATAACTTCCAAGCTTTCGAAAATAATCTAAATCTATAACTTAAAGTTTAGAACAGAAATAGGTTAAGAGCCAAACCAAGATCAAAGGTCAAACTAAGGTTTTTACTGAAGTCCATTTACCTGATGCATAACTCTGCGATTGAGGATGCAAATATTCCACCATGATGATCTCAATTTTTTGTCTGCCATGTCTTCAAAATAAATGTCCATAAACAACTCAAGGCACTTTGATACATTACAAATCAGGTTTTGGGTAAGGTATGCAAATGAGACAATATCCTAAAACAAACTTATGGAAACATCGATCATTTCCTGCAGTCTAAACAGGTAAAGGTTCTCTTGGCTCTTCCAATAGACCGCTCTCAAAACCAACTACAAATAAAGCAAAATAACAAGCGTTTGAAAACACCAAAGAGAGGTCAAGCAAAAGCCAAGAACAAAAAACAAAAACAGAGAATTAGATACTATCTTCTGTTTTCAACTAATCACAGGATGTACAGTCCAATGACAAGTAAGAAGTCCAGCCACGCAAAAGGCTCTTTAACTTTCACCAAGCCAATCTTCAAGTTACTGCAAAAAAGTAACGGACAACCAACATAACAAACTTATTCACATATGTTTTAAAATAAAAAATAAATAAAAACCAAGAATAAAAATAAAGCTGCGGAGACAGGATTTGAACCCATGATGACATCAAGGTTAGGAGCCTTGTTAACTACCAAACTGCTCTGCCCCACACTGAAGACAAGAACTGAGAACTAATAGACAAACAAGGATTTAATATGCTCCCCCACTATATCTGTACAAATACAATAAGCCATTTGTAATGAATTGTAAAAGAAAAGCAATCCTCACCTAATATTCAGTGTAAGAAAGATCCATGAATTTTCAGAGCAAATGAGATCCTACATAAAGACACACCAATACTATTATACAGGCACCGAATACATAGGTCTGACAAGTACGATAGATCGAAGCTTACAGGCATTCTCACAGGCATTCAAATCTATCGACCATGCAATCGATGCATTCTGACTTTGTACTAAATATTACCTGAAACCAACTCAATCGGCTGATCATTCAACCAAAGAAATCTGTATCTATCAAAGCTATCTGGATCGATCAAAGCATAATTTGCAAGCCTTTCAAAATAATCTAAAACTTAATGTTTTGAATAAAAACAGTTAATGAGCCAAACCAAGATCAAAGGTCAAACTAAGTTGTTTACTAAAGTCCATTTACCTGATACCCCATTGTGCGATTCAGGATGCAAATAATAAATATCCCGCAATGAATCTTCTCATTTTTTGTCCACCATGTCTTCAAAAATGTCCATAAACAACTCAAGGCACTTTGATACATTACAACAAAGGTTTTGGGTAAGGTTTTGAGAGATCAATTAATTTTCAGAACAAATGGTGGAAAAGAGAAATATAGATGAAGGAAGAATAAACACAGCTGTAAAAATTGGGAAGATGGTGAAATAATTCCAAATATACAGTTACACAACTTTCAAAATGTAAATACTCACAAACCAAGACAAATTGAATGCTGCCAACCACAAGGTCCCAACTGCACTATGACATTTCCGGAACACTACTGGCCTTCATTGAGATCCTACATAAAAACACGCCACTACTGTTATACAGGCACCAGACATGCAGGTCCGACAAGTTCGATAATTCAAAGACTACAAGAAGTCTAAAAAGAATTCACCCTATCCACCGTGCAATCGATGACTTTGACCTAAATATCACCTGAAACCAATTCAATCGGTTGATCATTTGATCAAAGCTCTCTGGATCGAACAACACATAACTTCCAAGCTTTGGAAAATAATCTAAATCTAAAACTTAAAGTTTAGAACCAAAATAGTTAAAAGCCAAACCAACATCAAAGGTCAAACTATGATTTTTACTGAAGTCCATTTACCTGATACATAAATGTGCCATTGAAGATGCAAATATTCCACCATGATGATCTCAATTTTTTGTCTGCCATATTCAAAATAAATGTCCATAAACAACTCAAGGCACTTTGATACATTACAACTCAGGTTTTGGGTAAGATATAGAAAAGACTCAATATCCTAAAACAAACTTATGAAACATCGATCATTTCCTGCACTCTAAACATGTAAAGGTTCTCTTAGCTGATCCAATAGACCGCTGTCAAAAACAACAAATAAAGCAAAATAACAAGCATTTGTAAACACCAAAGAGAGAGGTCAAGCAAAAGCAAAGAACAAAAAACAAAAACAGAGAATTATATACTATTGTCTGTTCTCAACTAATCACAGGATGTACAGCCCAATGACAAGTAAGAAGTCCAGCCACGCAAAAGGCTCTGTAACTTTCACCAAGCCAATCTTCAAGTGACTGCAAACAAGCAAAAACGTAACGGACAACCAGCATAACAAATTTATTAATAAAGTTGTGAAGATGGGATTTGAACCATGACATCAAGGTTAGGAGCCTTGTTAGCTACCAAACTGCTCTGCCCCATGCTGAAGACAAGAACTGAGAACTAATAGACAAACAAGGATTTAATATGCTCCATCACTATATCTGTGCAAATACAATAAGCCATTTGTAATGAAGAATAACCACAGCGGTAAAAATTGGGATGATTGTGAAATAATACCAAATATAATCACAAACCAAAACGAATCGAATGCTGCCAATGGACAGCTCTCAAAAACAGTTACAAATAAAGTAAAATAACAAGCGTTTGTAAACACCAAAGAGAGAGGTCAAGCAAAAGCCAAGAATGAAAAACAAAAACAGAGAATTAGATACTATCTTCTGTTTTCAACTAATCACAGGATGTACAGACCAATGACAAGTAAGAAGTCCAGCCACGCAAAAGGCTCTTTAACTTTCACCAAGCCAATCTTCAAGTGACTAAAAGCAAAACATAACGGACAACCAGCATAACAAATTTATTATTATAAAAAAAAAAAAAAAAAATAACCAAGAATAAAATTAAAGCTGCGGAGACGGGATTTGAACCCATGACATCAAGGTTAGGAGCCTTGTGAGCTACCAAACTGCTCTGCCCCACGCTGAAGACAAGAACTGAGAACTAATAGACAAACTAGGATTAACATGCTCCCCCACTATATCTGTACAAATAGAATAAGCCATTTGTAATGAATTGTAAAGGAATAGCAATCCTCACCTAATATTCAGTGTAAGAAGATCCATGAATTTTCAGAACAAATAGTGGAAAAGAGAAATATAGATGAAGGAAGAATAAACACAGCGGTAAAAATTGGGATGATGGTGAAAAAAAAACAAATATAAGCACAAACCAAAACGAATCGAATGCTGCCTACCACAAGATCCCGATTGCACTATGACATTTCCCAAACACTACTGGCTTTCATTGAGATCCTACATAAAAACACAACAATACTATTATACAGGCACCGAATACGTAGGTCTGACAAGTTCAATTGATCGAAGACTACAAGAAGTCTAAAAGGAATTCAATCTATCGACCATGCAATAGATGCATTCTGAATTTGAACTAAATAATACCTGAAACCAATTCAATCAGTTGATCATTCGATCAAATCTCTCTAAATCGATCAACGCATAAATTCCAAGCTTTCAAAAAAAATTATAACAACTTGGAAGTTTAGAATCAAAACAATTTAGAAGCAAACCAAGATCAAAGGTCAAACTAAGGTATTTACTAAAGACCATTTACCTGTACCTAATTGTGCAATTGAGGATGCAAATATTTCACCATGATCTTCTCAATTTTTTGTCTGCCATGTCTTCAAAAAAATGTCCATAAAAAACTAAAGGAACTTTGATATATATAGCAACTTAGGTTTTGGGTAAGATATGCCAATGACTCAATATCCTAATACAAACTTGCAACAAAGAAAATTTCCTGCAGTCTAACCAGGTAAAGGTTCTCTTAGCTTTTCCAAAAGTCTGCTTTCAAAATAAACTACAAACAAGCAAAATAACAGAAGTTTGTAAACACCAAAGAGAGAGGTCAAGCAAAATCCAAGAACAAAAAACAAAACCAGAGAATAGATACTCTCTTCTGTTTTTAATTAATCACAGGATGTATAGTCTAATCACAAGTAAGAAGTCCAGCCACACAAAAGGCTCTTTAACTTTCACCAAGTCCATCTTCAAGTGACTGCAAATAAGCAAAAAAGTAACGAGCAACCAGCAAAACACACTTATTCACACATGCTAAATAAAATAAAATAAAAAAGAAAAAAAATAATTCGGCGAAGGCCCCACTCTTAAGACAGGAACTGAGAACTAATAGACAAACAAGGATTTAACATGCACCTCCACTATAGCTGTACAAATAGACTAACCCATTTATAATGAATTGTAAGGGAATAGTAATCCTCACCTAATATTTCAAGCAAGAAAGATCTTTGAATTTTCAGAACAAATGGTGGAAAAGAGAAATATAGATGAAGGAAGAATAAACACAACAGTAAAAATTGGGAAGAAGGTTAAATAATATCAAATACACTGTTACACAACTTTCAAAACCTAAATAAGCACAAACCAAGACGAATCGAATGCTGCCTACCACAGGTCCCAACTGCACTATGACATTTACCGAGCACTACTGGCCTTCATTGAGATCCTACATAAAAACACCCCACTACTATTATACAGGCACTGAATATGTAGGTCTGAAAAGTACAATTGATCGAAGCTTACCGGAAGTCTCACAGGCATTCCATCTTTCAACCATGCAATCAATGAATTCTGACTTTGAACTAAATAATACCTGAAACCAATTCAATCGGTTGATCATTCAATCAAAGCTATCTTGTTCAATTGAAGCAATATTTGCAACCTATCAAAAAAAAATTCTAAAACTTGAAGTTCTGAATCAAAACAGTTTATGAGCCAAACCAACATCAAAGGTCAAACTAAGTTATTTACTAAAGTCCATTTACCTGATACCTAATTGTGTGATTGAGGAAGCAAATATTACAGAATAATCTTCTCCCTTTTTGTCCGCCATGTCTTCAAAAAAATGTCCATAAACAACTCAAGGCACTTTGATACATTACAACTCAGGTTTTGGGTAAGATATGCCAATGACTCAATATCCTTATACAAACTTACCAAAACATTGATCATTTCCTGCAGTTTAACCAGGTAAAGGTTCTCTTAGCTTTACCAAAAGACCGCTCTCAAAATCAACTAAAAACAACCAAAATAACAAGTGTCTGTAAACACCAAAACGAGAGGTAAAGCAAAATCCAAGCCGACAGAACAAAAAACAAAAACAGAATTAGATACTCTCTTCTGTTTTCAACTAATCACAGGATGTACAGTCCAAAATAGTAAGAAGTCCACCCACGAAAAAGGTTCTTTAACTTTCACTAAGTCCATATTCAAGTGACTGCAAGCGAACAAAAAAGTAACGAGCAACCAGCAAAAGAAACTCATTCACACATGGTAAAAAAAAAAAAAAAAAATTTAAACCAAGCATAAAAACACACCACTACTATCATATGGGTACCGAATAGATAGGTCCAACAAGTTGGGTTGATCTAAGACTACTGGAACTCAAAGGATTTCAATCTATTGACCATGCAACAGTTGCATTCTGACTTTGAACTAAATGTTACCTGAAACCAATTCAATTAGTTGATCATTCTATCAAAGCTCTCTGGATCGATCAAAGGATAATTTCCAAGCTTTTGAAAAAAATCTAGAACTTAAAAGTTTAGAATAAAACAGTTTATGAGCCAAACCAAGATCAAAGGTCAAACTAAGGTATTTACTAAAGTCCATTTACCTGATACCTATTTGTGCGATTGAGGATGCAAATATTCCACATGATCATCTCATTTTTTGTCTGTCGTGTCTTCAAAAAATGTCCATAAACAACTCAAGGCACTTTGATACATTACAACTCAGGTTTTGGGTAAGATACGCCAATGACTCAATATCCGAATACAAACTTACAGAAACATTGATCAGTTCCTGCAGTCTAACCAGGTAAAGGTTCTCTTAGCTCTTCCAAAATACTGCTCTCAAAATCAACTACATACAAGCAAAATAACAAGTGTCTGTAAACACCAGAAACAGAGGTCAAGCAAAATCCAAGAACTAAAAATAAAAACAGAGAATTAGATACTCTCTTCTGTTTTCAACTAATCACAGATGTACAGTCCAATAACAAGTAAGAAGTCCAGCAATGCAAAAGGTTCTTTAACTTTCACGAAATCCATCTTCAAGTGACTGCAAACAAGCAAAAAAGAAACAGCAACCAGCAAAAGAAACTCATTCACACATGCTAAAACGTAAATATATGATACCCTAAATTTGCTAGTGACAGATATAAAAATCATCGGTAAGGAAGATGAAAAAAAAAAAAAAAAAAAAAACCTCGAAAAGGAGAGAACTGGAAGTGAAGTGTAAGGTAGGTAATATAAAAACACAAGATACCAAGGTTTTGCATACATCCATCAACACTGAATAATTTTGTTTAGAAAAAAGATGGAAAGGAAAGAACATATAGCTTGTAGGTGGAGAAGGAGTCAAATAATAAACCTCTCTGATGTGTTCCTACATCCTGTATCATTACAATCTAACAGAAGCACAAAGACAGAAAGAAAGTACCAAATTAGAAACGATTCATTATTATATGCTTCTGCAGTAACGTAAAACCACAAATGAACATAAAGCTGAAAACGAAATGCAATATAAGAGAATCTCAAAACACGGACGACGAAAAAGCTGATCTGATTGAGAGAAGAAAAAAAAATAACTCACACTGCCCAACTCAATAAAGTTTTTCCCAAAATAGCACAAATTTAAGCCAGAGATAACAAAAATAAAGTTTTTCCCAAAATAGCACAAATTTAAGCCAGAGGTAACAAGTAAACAGTTGCTCCAGCAGGTTGCTCCTGCATCTCACCATATCAAAAGCAGAGGGAACTCTACGTATCAGAAAGGATCAACTTGATGTCCAATCAGTCTCATCCAAGGAGCAGCACTGCATTCCTGAACAGCATCTTTAGTTAAACCCACACACTAAACAGAGCTCAAAGACAGTTAAAAACCTAATGCGTCATTTCTAACAGTGTATAGAATTATTGAACCATCCAGAATTGTCATGGAACCCCTACAAGATGAAGTGACAAGCAACAGCAATAGCTATATCCAAAAAAAAATAGATGTTCACAAACAACTCTAGGCACTTTGACACATTACAACTCAGGTTTGGGTAAAATATGCCGATCACTCAAAATCCTAACACAAACTATCAAGCTGAAGGTTCTATAACAACAACAGCTATATATCATTCTCATCATGCTTATACCAATTAAAGAGCAAAAGACTGATCATTTCCTGCAGTATAACCAGGTAGAGATTCTCTAAGCTCTTCCAAAAGACCGTACTTGAAATCCACCTTAAGGTCAAGTCGAAGAAAAGCGACTACAAACAAGCAAAATAACAAGTGTATGTAAGCACCAAAAAGAGAGTTCCAGCAAAAATAAAAAAAAATATAGAACAAAAAACTAAAACTGCAAATTAGATTCTCTCTTTTATTCTCAACTAATCGCAGGAGACAGTCCAACAACACAAGTAAGAAGTCCAGCTATTTAACAGGCTCTTTAACTTTCACCAAGTCCGTCTTCAAGTAATAGACTGCAAACAAGCAAAAAAGTAACGACCAACCAGCAAAAGGAACTCATTCACACTGGCAAAAAAACAAAAAACAAGCATAAAAAGAATTTTGCCTAGACAGGATTTGAAACTGTGACCTCAAAGTTATGAGCCTTGCGAGCTACCAAACTGTTGTGTCCTGCACTGAAGGGAATAACTGAGAACTAATAGACAAACGAGGATTTAGTGCGCCCCTCCACTATATCTGAACAAGTAGAATAACCCAATTACAGAGAACGGAAAAGGGGTTCCCATCCTCACCTAATATTTCAAGTAAAAAGGATGCATGAATTTCAGAGCAAAGGGCACAAAAGAGAAATATAGATGAAGGAAGATTTTTAAAATGGGAAGATGGGGAAATAATACCAAAGATACTGTTACACAACTTTCCAAACATAAATAAGCACAAACCAAGACTAATCAAATGCTGCCCTGCCACAAGGACCCAACTGCACTTTGACATTTACTGAAGTCCTTAATGAGATCGTACATAAAATCACATCACTGCTATTATACAGGAACTGATTCCTGAGCTTGAACCCTCAAATTTTGTACAACTTAAGTAGCTCTCTTGACCCATCTTCAAAATAGTGCATCCCCCTTCTGGAGGACTGCAAACCACCCAGGAGTAGAAAGTCAAGAAATTCCACAAATGAGGGGGAAAAATATACCAACATGCTCCATGCTTGCAAACAATATAAGGCAACACACAAGCAACAAGTCCACGAGCAAGAAACCACAAAACAAAAAGGAGGTTTTGTTCAACAATGCAATGACCATATGCCCATCCAAAATTAAGTTCACCTAAACTTGTTAGTAACAAATATAAAAATCATTGGTAAGGAAGATAATACAAAACATAAGACACCCTTATGAAAGAGAAGTGTAAGTGAAGGGGAAAGAGAAGTGTAAGTGAAGGGGAAAGAAAGCATTTGCAAGAAACCCTTCAAAGCACAACCATTCCTAAGTTCTGTACCACAGCAAGGACTTCGAATGAAAACCTGCAAAGCAGAAAATCCGCAGATTTTGTACCTCAGAAATGTCTTCATGTCTAGCTGAAGAGACACTCCATATATAGAGTAATCAAATAATGCAGCAATAACTATATTTAAAACCAAACACTAATTATGTCCTCAAGCTTATCAAAGTTCATCAGAAATTAAGAATCGCTACCAAATACACAACATTGTTGCATGAAGTTCCTACAATCGACTTAAGTAAATAAATGAAAACTGTAATGATAACCAAATAGGGAAAAGGGCACTTCTTCACTTGAAAGGGATAAATATTTAATGAAATCATCATCAGGATAGGATAAAAATCATAGTTAATTTAGGGAACACCAACTTGATCTCAGAAAAAGTGAAGTGAAATATGACAACTTCAACAGAATCAGGAGTACTAGAGGTAACAATGAAGGATTTTAGTTGAGAGCCTAAAAAGACCTACGAAAAAAGAAGTGATGTCAAAAAGACAATTATTGAGGAGTTAAGTTCTTCATACTGACTTGATGTAAGATTAAAGACATTTAATCAATGATGGGATTTGAGTGCCTCCTATGCATTTTTGTGCATTGTATTTTGGGTGTGCCTGCAAGCAACTGCGTGCATGTGTGTTTTGTGGGAGGAGGATGGGGCCCGGGGGAGTCCATCAATGAAAAATATTTGATAAACATACGTTCATAAATTTATAGAATTAGGAGTTCAGGTTTTTCTCATATGGCCAATGTTCTTAATGTCTCTCTCTTTGGAGACAAACTTACACCAAATAACTAGAAGTAGAAGAGTAGGTGAAGGAAAAGTTACTGTGATGTTAGTCATGGAGTTAAATTCAATAGCTGACTTAAGATACGCCTATTCACTGCAGCTTTTAGAATAGTTTGTTATTCTAGGAGTTCAAACAAGGTCGAAATATGTTCCTTGTCCTATTCTTGAAACAAATTTTAAGAAATCGAGTTAATACAGTAAACTTACTTGCAGAGAACCATTGGTAATTTAATCCAAATTAAGATCTTGTGAAATGGAGGGCAGAGGGTTCTAAATCACAAAGGATCTCAGGATGCGAATGGAATTCTTGCTTATTTGAAGAAACAGAATCTATGTTGACAATTCATGATTGGTGTTTATACTGTTTTTATTGTCCTTGTGTCTATTAAAATCGCATTTTCTAGTTGTTTCCTGCAGTTACCAGGTGGTTGGCACCTCACTATATGTTAAAATTGTGGAGTGTTCAATATTGTTGGTCTGCAAGAATTTTTCTATGATCAGGTGCCGAATGATTTGAGGAGCATTGGTCTTGCTCTCTACTTTAGAGTCATTGGCATAGGGAGCTTCCTGAGCAGCAGCTTTGTAATCTGTGTCGTCCAGAAAGCTACCACTAGATATGATCCAAGATGGTTGGTTTTCAGATAACTGCTGTGGATTGAGTGCAGTGGAATTGGTAGCCCACTTGTACTTAGCAAAATCTTATTTCCATTTTGTTTGGGGAGCTTCCAAGGATCAATCATTTTCCAAGAATACTATGTGAAGGTGCACATGCCATGGAACAATAATTTATTTTAACATGTGATTGTTTCAATGAAAAGCACACCAGAGAACTGAAGAAGACAAACAGCGTACCACGTCAGGGTCCCAGTAAGGAGGTGATGTTGATGGGGTTCCATTTCCTACACAGTGACAGTGGTATGGCTACACAACCGATTGCCAACCTCAGGACCGTCTCAGGAATCTAAGATGAATATCAGCTCTGAAATTCTATTGCAACTTCAGAAAACTCTTATTTTTTGTGGAAGATGGATGGGAACGGTAAGAAGTAGATTTGATACCGGTGACAAGTAATTGGTAAGACACAGTGAATTGGTAAGATGCATTTGTTTTTATTACAAGTTTGATATCAAATTGGGTGGGTGTTAATATTGTGCTTTTATTGCATTTTTTTCGTCAAGTCAACTTATTTGCAGATAACAATAGGTGATTACATCAGTAATGCACAACCTACAAAAACCTAAGTGATTTCAAAAAGGTTACTTGGTATAAGATTAAAGACATGTAATCATTAAAGAATTGGTATTTGCACGTATTGTATTTTGTGTGTCGTTGCATGTGTCTGTGTGTGCAAGACAATCTGAGATCATCCAAAAAGTTCCAAACCAGCAAAGAACAATATGAGAAAAACACATAAGATCTTTGATCTTTGTCTTGCTCAATCATCATAATCAACATAAAAAGTAAAAACAACCCAATCACCAATAAATCATTCACCACAACAGAATTCCAATAAATATGGCATATTATTTTTTTCCAAATAAAAGAAAAACAATTTTTACCCAAACTTCAAATTAATATTGTAGGAATTCACGTGTAAGAGAGAATCCATGAATGGATAATCGTATCTTAGAAATTTTTAGAGATCAAATCATAGAACAAAATTTTCCCTCCTAATTTGTAATTATAATAATTAAATATTTAATTCAACAAAAAAGTTTCAAACCAGGGAAGAACATCGTTAGGAGAAAAACACATAAAATCTTTGTCTTGCTCAAGAACTCATTCAACACAACAGAATTCCAAGAAATATGGCATCAAAACTTTGACAAAATAATTTCTACCGAAACAAATAACCCTAATATCTTTATAAGAACTCACAAATCAGGATCAATTCGACCAGAAAGCCAAGACCTAAACGAGTCGCTAATGGCAATCTAACTTTTCTGACATAATTTATAGAGAGCGGTGGTGGTTTTCAAGGGCTAGGATTAAGCGGTGGATTTTAATCTGACGGTGACAATTTTCCCTATACAATATTGGCGTATACAATACGCGTTTATGCGGTGGAAAATAAACCACCTGTAATATATAAATTATACGTATTACTTAATATTATATATATGTATATATATATATATATATATATATATATTGGCGTATACAATACGCATTTATAGGCTGTGGAAAATAAACCAACTGTAATATATAAATTATACGCATTACTTAATATTTTATATATATATATATATTATCAGGTCTACAGGACATTGCCGTTTGGCCGTTGTCAATAACGGACAAAAATCCTCTCCAGTAGAACAGGGCTCTTGTTTTAGCCGGTTCGGATGTGTGGCTCAGATTGGGCTACGTCAATTAAAAAAATTGATGGTTTAAAAAGTTACCTTCAGTTATTACGCACGGTATTTGGAGTATATATGTTATTGTATATATATATATATAATATATTATATAGTGTATATAGTCTTATATAGTGTGTATTTATATATTATATAGCGTATATTTGGGGGATTTTACTGAAATATCCTTCATATTCAAAAATCTCCCAAAATATCCTTCATTTTCTAGGTCGTGAATTAGCAGTGAAAATGGCAGATGCCTCGATAACCAATGGTTAGTGCCTCCGGTGGATTTTGGGAGTACCCGACTTCGACTCTTTACACCTACTAATCTAACTTCTAACCCTTCTTGCCTTGTAAAAAAAAAAAAAAAAAAAAAAAAAAAAAAAATTGGCAGTGAAAATCATGAAAGGAAGTCGAATTGGAAGAAAGAGAAGGTCTGAAGGGAAGTCGAATTGCAAGAAGGAGAAGGTCGCGAATTGTTACAGTTTTCAGACTTAGGTTTTCGAAAATAGAGTTGGAAGAAGGTCCCGAAAAGAAGTTATTACAGTTTTTGGACTTAGGTTTTCTTTACAAAGATTTTGTCCATCCCTTTCCAAACAAACTCAGAGGTTTAATTTGATTTAATCGTATTTAATTTTGTTTCATTAGTTTTGTTTGGTTATTTGTTAGTATTAAATTGTGAAAAAATGAATGGAAAATTGTGAAAATTTAATTCATGATAAATAGTACAGCATAATTTGATTAAATCCTATTAAATTCTGTTCCATTTGTTTTGTTTGGTTATTTGTTAGTAAATTGTCGAAAAATTAATGGAAAATTCTGAAAATTTCGTATATGATAAATAATACAAAATAGTTGGGATATTCTCTATTATAATGAATGGAAGTTTTAAACTTCCCGTTTAAGATGTTATAACAAGGTTGTTACAGTTCTTGGACGTAGGTTTTCTTTCAAAGGTTCTGTCCATTCCTTTCCAAACTCAAACTTAGAGGTTTAATTTGATTGAATCCTATTAAATTTTGTTTCATTAGTTTTGTTTTATTATTTGTTACTATTAAATTGTGGAAAAATGAATGAAAAATTATGAAAATTTTATTCGTGTAAGACAATGTTTTATAGAATTTGTAATGGTAATTGAGAATTATTATTGTTAATTATAAATAACATAACATGGTTGTAGTTTTAAACTTTCAATTTGTGTTCCAATTCCTTTAGCGCCCTTCTTCCAATTTGTGTTCGAGGAATTGGAACGGCAATACAACACAATAGTCGTGGTTCATCATCAATATAGTGTATATTTTGTGAAATCCCCCTTTCTGCATAGGAAGAGAAATTGGAAGAAGGACGCTGAAGGAATTGGAACAGAAATTAGAAGAGGGGCGTTGAAAATCCTAAGGGTAGTCGTGGTTTGTCCAAGTGTTCATCATTGAGTAAGAGCTTTCAAAGAAAGGTTTGAGCTTAATTTATGGATTGTTATTCATAAATGACTTTTTTTTGTTAATGCAAGAAACAGGTTAACGTATTTATTGTTATAAAGGATCTAGGGTTTGTATTTTTCATTATTTTAGAGTTTTACATATGAATTTGTGAATCGTATGAAATTGTTTTTCATTACTTTCGTTTGGTTATTCGTGAAGTGTTATTAAATTGTGAAAAATGAATGCGAAATTCTGAAAATTTCATTCGTGATAAATACTACAAAATAGTTGAAATATTCTTTATTATAAGTTCGTTTTAAAGTTCCAATTTAAGATGTTAGAATAAATATTTCATTCTATTCCTATAAGGCAGTGTTTTATTCGTGATAAGTAGTACAAAATAGTTGGGATATTCTCTATTATAAGGGATGGATGTTTTACACTTCCATTTTAAGATGTTAGAATAAATTTTTCATTGTATTTCTTTATGCCAATGTAATTATAATTGTAATTGAGAATTATGATTGGTAATTATAAATAACATAACATGGTTGTATTTTTAAACTTTGAATTTGAGATGTTAGAAATTTTTTCCATTCTATTACTGTAAGGTAATGCAATGTTTTATATAATTTGTAATGACAATTGTTGTGTCGTATCTATTCTTGAGTGGTATGATTATCCTGTTACACTTTATGTGCAATTAATTTTCTATTTGTTTTATGTGTTTGTAGTTAAAGTTTTGTTGACAATTGGCCCAAAGGTTGTTCTTGCATAATAGAGTTTGGTTTGCTGCGGTGTAAAGAGTGGTTTAGAAATGGATCGGCAGAAGTCGATAGCCGGAACGAAATCACCTTTTCGACAAAAAAAAAATACCTATATATACGAAGAAAAAAAATGGCGGACATTATCGTTAATCCGCCTCCTCCTCCTACTCTCCAATGTATAATGCGAAGCATCCATAATCGTTCTTCTTCTACTACTGGTACAGCTCCCCCTCCTTCCCCCTAAAATCATCTGACCTTGGTGATGAGGATTATAATATTGAGACAGATGAAGAGGATTATGATCCCCAGCCAAGCAGTAGCGCATTAGACGATGAGAATTATAATGTTGATGCAGATGGAGAGGATTATCATCCCCAGCCAAGCAGTAGTGCATCAAACGATGAGGATTATAATGTTAAGGCAGACGAAGAGGATTATGATCCCCGGCCAAGCAGTAGTGCATCAGTAAATAGTCTGCATCGTGGAGAAGGAGTTTACCTTTTGTTTAAGTAAGTATACATTCATATTAATATTCATGTTCACAATAGCATTTGTATGAATTATGGTACCCTGTTGACCAAATATATTTTTCATTTGTCTGATATTTACGTTGACATGAAATTGATTGTTAAGGATTTGAAATTATTTATAAAGGTACAACATAATTTCTGCATGCATTTAAAATGAAAATTTCTTTTATTGATTTGGTACTTTGGTAATTATGAAAGTTTAGGAAATTATTGGGATGGTCTGTTTATCTTTCAATTGATAAGTGTATAAGTAAGTTGTGAAATAAGTTGTGAAATAAGTTGTGAAACATATATATTGAATTGAAATCCCGATGTTGACTTTATGATATGATTTCGTGTGTATCAGGCCTGGTTTCATGAAGAACTATCAACAAGTGTATGGTCTAGTAGGCCAATGAAGGCTGATGTTAAAATAATATTGGAATTGAAATGCAAGGATGCATGGAATGTTATGCGTGTGGAACATAAGGCGTCATTTTATGAATAAAAAAGATTGCGCGATTTGGAGTTCAAAAGGTGTGGAGGCTTAGTAGTGAACAAAAAGAAGAAGAATAAGGTAATTTGTGAATTTTGGTTAAATTAGTAATTGAATTTGTTATTATTTTGATAACATAGTATGCAGTAAAAAAGACTGCAATTGATGCTTCCTTAGTGGTAGTTATATGAAATTGTGTTATGTGACATTATATTTGTTGGGATATTGAAGGTTGAATACAAGATAAAAACTAGGTGGAACAAATGCTCGATTGCTAAATTCATTAACACAGTATCCAAACTTGGAGAGGAAAAGAGGAATGATGTTGCAGATATAGGTTTCGGCAATTTGTTGAACCTACAATGTGACCATTTGTCTACCCCACTCTTTAACTACATCATTAGGCATTTGGAGTTAGAGAAACGGCGCATTAAACTTGATGATAACAAGTATCTCCCAATTAATGCAATTGATGTCCACAACATCCTCGGCTTACCTGCTGGAATCACGACAGTGCTTACATCTCAGCAATTTCATGCCGATTGGATAACTGTAGGTGGATATCGCAATGGCTTGCATGTAAATGCGTTGATGGAAAGGGTAGAATAATCTGAGGTAGGCGAAGATTTCAAAAGAGCCTTTGTGCTTTTTGCATGTGCCGCTTTTTTAACACCTAATGGACGTTACAGTGCACATGTGAAAGAATTAAAGGTTGTTCATAATGTGAATGAAATAAAGTTTTACAACTGGTGCACATATGTGCTTCAAACTTTAATGGATCACTTGGGTGAAGGTGAAGATGGTGGGAAAATTAAGCATGAGTACACTGGATGCGTTCTCTTACTATAAGTAAATAACATAACGTACATATATTTTGCAAAATACTTTATTATTTATGTCATTAATATGAATTATGACTGATTAAACACGCTGTAATTTAATTCAGCTTCTATATGTCATGAGGTGTAAAGTGCAATACCCTTGTTATCCCACCACTGGCGATAAAAGCAACCTTGGTTTTTGGGACACTGCCCTTGTACGCAAACGCTTAAAATGGGAGGTTTTTTATTGGGTCAGGTATTACAGTAAATTTAAAAAGTATTTTGAAGTTCCCATTTTTTATTGTATTTTATGATACCATTTTGTTGCTTAATTACATTTGGTTGAAAATATTTATATAGAACAATTAATTTCTCTAAAGGCGAATATGTCTCATTCTCCATCATCGTCGTGGTCGGGAAGTGAAAAAGACAATGCTAGTTGTTCGGAAAGTGAGGTTGAGGTAACGATATATTGCTTTACGGTTAATGAGTATGAATGAAATTGTGAATATGCAATTGATCAGTGACAATGAATTACAAATTTTTATGCAGCG